CTGATTTGAAGGCTAAGGAGTCAGTCCATCAGGCCCTCCACCTTGTCCTCTAACTATAGCTGCATCTCCTGTTCAAGCAGTCGTGTGAATGCTGTGTCTATTTCTGTGCAAATCCCAGGCTAAAGATTGCTCCCTGGGGGACTGTGAGCAAGATGTCCCTATCTGCCTCAGTTTCTTCATCTCTAATATGGAGGAAAGACTACTTCCTAAGTGTGTGGTGAAGATTTAAGCAGATAAAGAAAATAAAACAGATAAGTGTGTTTGACACTTTGAGTGCTCAATATATGTTCGCAATTGATGTGGATTTGCTTCTTTGCATGGAGCTAACATCAGTCATTCATATTCATATCCCCTGTAGTTGCCAAGAATAAATACCGTACTTAGTGCATTTAAAAAAATCAATTCCAGTTTTTAAACTCGGCTATATTTCAGGTAATCATATTTGTGAAGGCTCACATGCAATGTGTTTATTTTTTTTCTAATATTCATAAAATAAAAACAGACCCACTGAACTAATGTTTTCTAAGTTGGCAGCATCTGAAAGCATCTGAAACACCAGGACACATTTCACAGGTTGGGCAACTCTGTCTACACACAGTCATTCATCTCTCAGTGGCTCTCTCAAAAAGAATTGAGACAACACTTATCAGGCTAATGGAGAGCCAGAATGGCAATAGAATGGAAAAGCACCTTCCCTGCCCTCACTGAGCAAACAGACATGCAGCAGGGAGATGAGAACAATGAGAGCCCTGGAGATGGGGGAAGGGGAGCGTGCGGCAGGGCGCCCCATTCCACTGGGCAGGCCAGTTCCCACAGGAGACAGGACAAGGAAAGAGGACCAAGCATCATTGCAAACTGTTATTCCAACTTATTCTAAATTCCCATTTCAAGACAACTTGGCTGTGCACCCAGATTCTACCTCCTGGAGATCGGAGGACTGTTCCTAGAGCCCTCCAGGCATGATTTCTCATCTGTAAAATGGGCACATCATCCAGCTTGCAGAGCTGGTGGAGGATAGAACCTGCTGCCACAGCAGGTGCCAGCAAAGGAGAGTTTACATCAGGGGATCGATCCTCTCATGACAGGATCTTCCTCATCGGCAGGCTTGCTGTATGTGCTTGGTTCTCCTCTGGATGTTTAATGCTCTTGGGTTACCTCTTTGGCAAAGCAGCCCTTGGCATACTTAACCAACTTAATATGGGTTGTGGGAAGGCTTTCCAAAGTCAAGACACAACTCTCAGAGCCTTGCATGTATTTCCTGTTGCAATAATATCCTGCATAGGTGGAGGTGCATAAGATCCCACTAGAAACTGAGGCATGGAAAAGTTTTGTCACTTGCCCAGGTCAAACAGCTGGCAAATGGAGGAGCAAGTAACTACCAAAATTAGTAACCACTAAAATTGCAGACTATTTGCTCAGATGCTGGGGTTCTTGTTCCAACATTAAGAAGGGTTCAGCAATCTGGAGAAAGGCTGTGTGTAGATTAAGTAGGAGTCCAAAGACGAAGATAATTTTGAGAGGCATTGGGGGTCAGAGGGGCCTGGCTGAAGAAGCTAAGTTCTTAGCTCCCCTTGTCTCAAGACCCCTTGCTTTTTATTAACACAAACTGTCCTAAGGCAAGGTGGAGATAAACACTTCATAGGGTTTCATACAGGAGCATTGTCAGATTGGGAATGTTCAAGTGTTTGGCCAGTAGGAGGCAAGATGTAGATTAAGATGTCCTGAGCTATCTGGCAGCAAACAATCATCCTATTCAGGTTTGGGGGAAATGCCTTTAGCCATTCCAACAGGTGACTACATATGTGACTCAGCCCTTGTTGAGTCCCCAAGTTCCATCAACTTTTTGATGAAACTCTTAAAATTATGACATGCTGGAACGGGTTTCTGGCACTCAGATATGTCTCTAACTAGTGCCCACAGTAGTGTAGGACTACATCATCATCTAGCTCAGTGATTCTCTGCTAGAGCAATTTCCGTCTCTACCAGAAGACATTTTGTTGCCACAGCTGTGGGGTGGGTGCTACTGGTATCTAGTGGGCAGAGGTCATTGATGCTATTATACAACCTACAGTGCAAGGGACAGACCTCTCCCCAAATTATTAACTAACACGGAATGTCAGTAGTGCTGATGTTTAGAAACCGTAAGGTTTCTAAACCTTCTTAACTCTGCAGAACCTTAACTGTGCAGCACACAGCTATCTCTAATTCCAAAAGGGGGAGCTTCAAGTTGGGGGCAGGAAAACCATATGTACTTTTGTCACTGGAAAGTGATGACCTTGAGCCAACTGCCCAGAGTACATTTGCCTAGTGATGCAGATAAGCTGGTTACAAACCTCAGGTGAGACACTGTGGCTAGGTAGAAAGGAAGAGGGACGAAGCATGACATCTGGCAGAAGTCGAAGATAGCTATCAGCCAGCTGCTCATGTAGAGAAAGGCGAAAATAGAAGAAGCACGTGCTCTTATGCAGCAACCTTGGCTGAGCCACGCCCTGGGAGAAGCAGTCATGGGGATGGAGGCAGCTCCCTGGACGGTGGGGAGCGGGGAACTGGCTAAGAAGGCAGCCAGGGGATGCAGAGGGACCTGCCAGGGCCCTGGGATCAGGCAGGCCACCCACAGCTTCGGCTGTATCTCATGTTATTGAACTGCTGCTATGAATGCTTTTTTAAAAAGGGGACCTGAGGCTGTCAGTCAAAGAAGGATGCAAATGGAAAAGTTGGAGAGGATTATGTCTTGTGATGTTTTTCTACATAAACTGCAAAATAACCAAGTGAGGCTATAGGACTTGGCTACTATGAATAGGGACAGGAGACAAGAAGCTGACCTGAGTACTTTTGCTTTATTCAATCTAATAAACATTTTATTTATATAAAAGACGAACAATGCACAGTATGAAAATAAGTGCTTGAGACATTTGATATAAAAAGAGTATATAGCATTCACATTCCTATTTTAATACATGAGTATGGCTGAAGTGTTCCATAAAAGAATAAAACTTTCCCTTTGTGTAGAGTAGTAAAAAAAAAAAAAAGTCAGTATTTTTAGGAACTACAGATTATTCCTTGGTCGTCGTCTTGAATAAGAAAAACAACAACACATAAACAAATCAAGCCACAGTATCATCTGATTCTACATTCCAGTTTATGCTGACCCAGAAGTGATAAAGCTCTTTGGAATCATTAGTAGACCAGTATTCTAGAAAGTCGCCACTAGAGGTCAATGAGCAACAGCTATTGAATGGTGTCAACAAGCCTTCAAAGTGCTCGGAATTTCTGGGCACTTCCCATGTATTGTAGCCAACCTGTCCTTAGGTTTCAGCCCCTCATACTCCCTCCACCCCCACGGGATAGGGTGCCTAAAAGTTCCACCTACTCCCAAACTTCAGTATGCCTGCTAAAACCCCAATGAGATGAGCTCTTTCAAAATCCACATAGAGCTGATTGACTCACTGGGAAGTCTCTAATATTCCTATATTTGGCAGAAAATAAGTAGCTTCTTAAAAAACACACACACACACACACAAAAAAAAAAATGATTATTTGCAGCATTGACACTTGTTTGTGGAAGAACAAGTTTCCTATGGAGTATTAAAGCTCATTCTTTGTTCTTACCACGCGGATTTCCTAACTTCAAACAGGACTCCTGTGTTCCACCCTCAAATCCTCACTAGGAGATTCTGCAAGGTTGGGAAGGCTGGTGGGATGGAGAGACCCGTGATCATGAAGAAAGCTTCTTGGAGAAAAGGACTCCCCTCCATAATACAGAGGGGAAGGAAGCTCTTAATAGAGAGACAAAAGAGACCTGGGCTAGCTGGGACCGCTCAGAGGAGGTCCCCTTTAGTCCAAAAAGGCCAACTTCAAATCTTAACACCAAATGGGGAGAGGAAGGGAATCGGTCATATGATGCAGCCAGGGAATGATGCTTGCATGCATATCCCTTATAGGGGGACTTGGTCCCGGGAGGGGTAGAGGTGGGTGGGCAGAAAGCGCCAATGTTTACATCAAGAAGTGAAGCAGCTTTATAAGTGCGTCCACACCTTCATTTTATAAGTGATGTGGGTCAGAGAGAACTGCAAACCATCTGCTAACTAGTCTCACTGGAGGATCTAGATGGTGTGTGTGTATGTGTAAAATCTCCAAATATGTAAAAACTGGCTCTATTTTGTGAAATACAGCGCTGGCCAAGCACAACACATGTTCGGAGTGCCCGAGGAAGTGGTCCTGACTGGGGCAGTGTTGTGCAGCTCAAATCCTTTGCACCAGACCAAGGTACACTTGAGCACTCTGGAGCCTGGGAGACACAAGCTACTGGTGTGGCTTAGAAAGCTGGAGACTCACACCAAGCGTGCTGAAAAGTTAAACACAAGGAACTCTGGGGAGATTTGATCCTTTTTAGGAAAGGGAGAAGCGCTGGGAGCAAACAAGAGTAACATAGGTATGGGGGGAGGAGAATATATATATGTATATATGTGTGTGTGTGTGTGTGTGTGTGTGTGTGTTTGTGTGTGTGTATGTATATATATATTATTAGTAGAAGGTATAGCAATTTCATGGACAAGGAAATTTGTCCTGATTTTTCTGCAGCCAGTGAAGGCAAAAACAATGCTCAAGAGTATTTTAACCATTAGAGATGGGGCCACATTTCTGCGCTAGTTGAGGAAGGCAATGCGAGGCTGGCCAGATGTTGGGCCGGAAGCTCAAGTGAACAATCCAGGAGAAACAGTGGCACAAGGAGCCTCGGGATCTGGTTCCCCATACAGTGGGACTCTTAAGTAGCTCTGTGGACAAAGGAGGGCCTGCACACACGGAATGATTTTGTAGAAGCAAGTGCGATGTGGCCATAGCAGACTGTGGGACACAGAGCCTCTCTCCTAATGCCAGCCCCTTCCTCCCCCCATGTAGTCAGAGAACCACCCATCCCACGTGTGATTGTCAAGTGCTAATGTTGTCATGGATCCCTTCTTCTGTGCTCAGCTCTGGAGCTCTCCAATCAAACCCATTTCCTGGGAAAACCTTATCTTTTTCTTTATCTCTTTCCAGAGTATGGCTGTATATATATATTTATATATATATAAAACATAGCTATTCCATATTTATTTACAGGCATTTATAAAGTGCAAATGTTATTAGCAATTATAAAAGTCAATCTCATTTCCTGAGGAACTGCTAACACAGCTTATCCTATGACAACGTCAGAGGCGTAGAATGCTTCATGTCACCCACCCGGGCCAGCTGTTTTCTGCTCAGTCCCGTCGCTTACAGGGAGGGAAGTGAGCCCTGGTTTTCCAGAAAGCATCCATCGGCTTAGGGGCAGCTTCCGCTGCCTCTGTTCTTTGGACTTCGCCCAGCCTGCCTTGGAAAGAGCTATTTGGTGGTGCCCAGCGAGCCATCTTCGGGAATCTTCTCCTCAGAGCCGCTCCTCCCCGAGAGCCTGTCCAGGTGCTCCAGCTCGCTGAAGCGCTCGGCCACACACTGGGCCGTGAGCCGGGCTTCTGGGTCATGGTCCCAGCACTCGGTCAGAGTCTCACACACCATCTGGATGCCCTGCAGAGGAAGAGAAGTCCACAGGCAACATGAGCAGGTGTGTTGCTGGGCTCCACGGCGGGCCAGATGGTCCCTTGTTCCTGCTGCGCGGGCCAGGTGGGAAAGAGCCCATGCATCGAACCGTTTCCACCAAGTGCTCGCGGTTCGAGGCCAGCCAGTGGCATGCAGAGTGAGGGGGCTGTGCATAGCCCTGGACACCTGTTGGACCTGACCGCTCTGCTGCCTTCTGATCACAATAAGTCGTGAAATGGAGAGACAGCACAAGGACCCTCAGTAGGCTTCTGGGGTCCTGAAAATTCCCAGGAAGTGCCCCCATAGCATATTGCGGGACCTGATACCAGTCAGAGCTGCCCCCCTCCTCCCCAGCGTTAGGCTGGGCCCTGCGAAACAGTTGTCTTTGTGGGTCAGACCTGCCTGATTTCAGGCCTTTTCAGATGGTTCAACCTGACCCCAATCCTGGCGCTCATTCAAAAGACCCATCCAGAAAATGCTGCCTAGTACCCTGGGGAGGGTCTTCTTCCAGGGCTTGAATGTTTATTTTGCATTGCAAATATTTTTGCTATTATTTCAAGTCCTTGTGGGAAATAAAGCAGGCCTGGGGTTACACAGATAGCCTACAGGCAGAAGGGGTGTGCTCCTGATGACATTTAGGCTCAACACTCTTATCTGCGGGACCACTCACCAGGTGGGCTTGGTGAACAGATGACTCCCAACACTGCCCTGAGAAGCAGCACACTCCCCCCACTTGTAACTTTCCGAACACCCCTCAGAGCCCCTCCCTGCCGGGGATCACGTTCATGATGTTGAATTAATTGTATAATGCACCTAATTGACGGTATTGATTGATGGCCCCTGTTAAGAGTGGAGTGTTATTGTTGGTACACAAGTAACATTTATTTTATTCTGACACTGTAATTACAGGCAGTAAATTAAATTAAATATTAAGCATTAACTTGAAATCAATAGGGCAACAAATCTCATTAAGGGGAAAAATGTATTATGCAAATTCTTTCCAGAATTTTATAATCATGAATCATGGCTTCATTACAAGAACTGCACAGTTGAGGAGGCGCCTTTGCAAAGGAATAACAAGAGTGCCTTGTGATTTCAGAGTTAACGCCCCACAGTCTCCTGTCATCTGAGTTTCAGAGGCCTGCTATAGATGACCTTTCCTACCATTTCTTGAAAAGAAAAAATAAAGAAGCCATTAGGATGTTCCCAACAAACTGACTTCCTGTTTGTTCATTTGCATGTCCCTCCTCTTTACTTTCTTTCATTCTTAGCTCTGTGCACAGCCTGCATAGGCCTGCACACGGACTTGGGTGCTTGCCTCTCAGCCCTGCGGGCTTACACACTCTGCTGATTTCTCTCTGCTCAGTATTTACTTCTACAACTGAAAGTTTCCAAAAAACATGTGGAACCCAGAAGGGAACACAACATAAACTCCCTAGGTAAAGGTCTAGAGGTGAGGGGCAGAGGCCACAAACAAAATATTTTAACTGGAACCGAGGGGCCTGGGCAATGGGACAGATGCCCTTCAAAGGATAATCGTGAGCCCTCTGAATGCTGTATCTACCTGCCAGTTGGGACTTCCAATAACAGGGTCACCCCACTTGACTGAAATTTTCTTTCTAAATAAAATCTAATGGGATCACTGCACACAAGGGAATCTGCCCTCCGATGGAAGCCCAATAGCCCAGAATCCTCTCCTACCTGAGGGGCCACTCAGATTCTCTCCTCACAACAGCCACCCCTTACCTGGTGGCTGAGCCAGGAGCTGGGAATTTCCGGTCGTCCCCGATCTCTCAGCACATTGTCCTTCATGCTTTCGACACAGGGATGCTCCCGCACCTTGGAACCAAATGGAGGCTCATACTCTTTCACTTCTGTTAAGAAAGCAGATGAACACAGAGGCATTGAGAAGAGTATCTGCAGCCGGGGGCCAGGAGCATGCTGGGAAGGCTGGCTGGACTGCAGAGGCACTGAGTGTCCAGATATATCCGTGACGACTCTGAGTACAATTTTTAATCTTGGATTAAAACTAGAAGGAAGGAGTGGTTGTAGAAGGAGCTTGAGGAGTATTCCACAAATGACAACTGAGTGCTAGGTACTGATTGGGCTAATAGGTAGGGACAGAGTGGAGTGCAAGACCAGCAGGGTCAGCAAGCTTTCACTGGGACACAAGCCTTCTCAACGGGGTGATGTTGCCCCAACAGAGCAAAACTGGTACTTTCTTAGGAGGTGGAAACAGTCTTACACACTAGAGTGGTTTGTAGCCCGACAATGGTCCAGAGAACAAAAACAGATTTCATAGGTGGTGTTGAGTTCATGGTAATGTTCAGCCTAGGAAGGGATGAAATTCTAATACGTGCTACAGTACGGATGAACCTTGGAAACGTTATGCTCAATGAAAGAAGCCAGACAAAAAAAAGATAAATATTGTATGATTCTCCTTACATGAGATACTTCGAATAAACTAATTCTTAGAGAGAGAATGCAGAACAGTGGTTGCCAGGGTGAAAGATGGAGGGTTAGTATTTAGCAGATTACAAAGATTCAGTTGGGGAAGATTAAAAAAAGTCTGGAAATGGATAATGGTGATGGTTGCACAACATTGTGAATGTACTTAATGCTAGTGATTTAATTACACACTTAAAAATGGTTAAAATGGTATATTATGAATAGTTTCATGGGAATTCATAGTTTAGAAAAAAATGTCTACAAAGTCTCTTTAGGATAGCAGTGATGAGAAAAAGTTTGCAAAATGCTGTTTAGTAAGATGATAGAAGGGAGAGATTAATTATAACATCAATAAACAAAAGCTTAAAAAGTATTTTCCTTCAGTGAGACATGCTGTAAAGACAATAGAACATGATGTAACCCTTCACCAGGGCTTCAGGTTTCAACTAAGATCAATTTCTTTATAGAAACTTTCATGAATATAACCGAAGCCATTCTTGATCAGATGTCCTGGGCAGAGCCCTACTTTATCATGTGTTCTATTTTAATATAATCATCTGCTTATTTGTCTTACTCAACTAGACTGTGCGCATTCGAGGACAGATTCAGAGTTCCTTTCTCATTCTTGTATTTCCAGCACCCATGAGAGGGCCTCCCATCCAAAAGGCTCCCAACAAGGGCTTTGGTGTGTGAGTGAATGAATGAAAGAGTGAGTGAATGAATAATCTGTCAATTCTGTCCAGAGTAGCAATGTATAAACCCTAGTTGAATTTTGCTTAAGATAGCACACTACTGAAATCAGTTTGGTTCAGTGGATAGAGCATCAGCCTGTGGACTGAGAGGTCCCAGGTTCAATTCTGGTCAAGGGCATGTACCTTGGTTGCGGGCACATCCCCAGTAGGGGGTGTGCAAGAGGCAGCTGATCGATGTTTCTCTCTGATCGATGTTTCTAACTCTCTGTCTGTCTCTCTTCCTCTCTGTGAAAAATATCAATAAAATATATTAAAAAAAAAAAAAAAAAAAAGACAGCACACTAATTCCAGTGGGTGAGCTAACAATATATGTCAGAGAGGCACGGGAAAATTTAAAAGATAGAAACAACTCCAGAACTAAAACATGTCAGAGCTAAAAGGAGAGAGGAGGCTGGATGCAACATTCTTCTCCAAAGGAAAGAGGATCTTTGACCTATAGCTTCAAAACAACCCTGTTTAATGAGTAAAACTTTCTCTCGTCGGCCCTCCCAGGCCAAGAAGTGAAGAAGCTTTCAAGGCAAAATGACATTTTGTGAAAATAGATGGCTTGCTCTTGTTTATTTGGTATTTTCCCCTCTTTCCCAGAACCCTGCTAGCATACTTAGCTTCTTCAGCCTCACCCAATCAGGAGAGCTAGCAAAATGTTGTTTTTCTACATCGTTTAAAATAGAGAAATGCGGGAGGAAGGCCTCCCTTCACACAAAGATAAGTACACACACCCTGCTGTGTGTACGCTTTTGCCTTTGTGGGTCCACAGTATTTAACCCATACTGCTCTTGGGGTGAGACTTGAGTTTTGATTTGCCTGCTGTTCATTTATTTCTTCCATTCTCTTTCTTTCTACCAAACTATAAAATTCCCAGGAAGAGGCTGAGCTTTGTGTCTTGCAACTCCCCAACCAGTGCAAAACTGCTGGGGCCAAATTACATATCTTTTATCCTTGTTTATTGTTCTCATTGCTTCTTTATTTTAGAAAATGCAGACAATTAAAAGTACAAAATCACTAGATAGATATAGACAAAAGCAAACATCTCTCAATTCCTTGCCCCTCCTTTAACCAAAGTGGTTTAGGCTAAAGGGTGGGATTAAAATTTATTTAGATTTTCCCCTTGTTGTTTGACCTTTACCCATATATTTCTTTATTTAAAAAACAAACAAACAAAAGCAAATGTTTTGCCCCCAGTTCATTGGGGAGTGAGACTTCCGGGAAACACTGTAGAAATGAATTACAAGGAAAATGAATTCCACTTGGGTGTCATGGCAACACCAGATTGCTACTAAAGCTACTAACCACCTCCTCTCGTTTCCATCCTCCTCCACATTGCAAATCTGAAACAACCAATCAGAGGACCACAGATCACAGGTCCATGGCATCGCTCAACATGTTTTGCAAGGAATACGCGCTGCATCTCCACAGAGGAAATGAACACAAGTTATTACAGATACTCTAAGGGTTTCAAATGGGTCAGACATAGAATGCTAAAGGAGAGTCTTCAGAGATGTGACCCAGCACCTCGTTTCCACAGGTGAGAAAACGAAGGTCAAAGGATGTACTGGATCCCGGGAAGAGCTCTTGGAACTGCCGACGGCATTACTGTCACTCTGATGGGACGGCTTTGCCTTTTTAGGAAACTTTCTCCTCCTACCAAACCTTTCAGAGACTTCTTTCTCCCCCACCCAGAACAAGCACAGCTGGGAACATGCCTGTCACCAACGTGACAAATGTGTCCTGGCTGCCTGGGCTAGGCCCTTCCCACCAGAGGACCCGAAAAGGGGAACCTTCTGGGACACGTTGGATATTATGGTTTGCCATTTCTAATCAAGCACTGCAGAGACACTACTGATGGCCAAGCGGACCCCTCTCCTTACTGCTCTTCTGTACCAACATTGCGCCATTCTGGGGTTAGGGGTGCTGGAGGACCAGAAAGGGGGTAGGAAGAAGATGGGAAAAAGGAGACTGCTGCATTTTACACTGCAGGTACCAGGTCAGGGCATGGCTGGCAAGAGAGTTAAGGCAGTATTTTCTAGAGTTCCTCTATGTGCCTTTGATCAAACAATGCCCAGGCCTCCCTTCTGTGGTGAACTGCAGGGGCAGCAAGTTAAGGGGTGAGTGGGATTAGTTCAAAGAGTGCCGTCCCTGGCTAATCTAGAATGAGAACCACCCTTTAAAAACATCTGGAAATGCCTCTAAGAAAAGAAGCAAAGAGTCCAGAGAGTAAGACTGAGTTTAGCCCTTAAAAAAATAGTGCTAACACTATGCGTCACGGGTTGGGGTATTGTCAGTGTTGTTTGCCCTGGCTCCATTGTGAACAGATAGAAGGATTTGGATAACAGACGTGTGCACTTGATGCCTTAGTTCCCATACCCACAAAATGAGGGAAGTCAGTGCCCTCCACCATTACTCTGTACTGCAGCCCTTCCTATCCATGGAATCATGCAGAGTGCCACCCTGCAATGTGTGTGTGTGTGTGTGAGATTCGTTTTTATTAAGTCAAGCCCTTTCACCTTTTTCACTTAAAGGAAGCAATTTCTGGCTTCTCTTTGGCACATCCAAATTACCAGCAACACTACTCTTGTGCTTCGGGGCCATTACCAAGTGAAACAAGGTTGGCCTGGACACAAGCAGTAAGATGCCAAGGCAGTGGATCTGATGATCCAGTGGCTATGATGGGCCTGGCAGTGGGGAGGAATGTAAACAGCGTGGATGCGCTAGACAAAGCGATGATCCCCCTCCCTAGCAGGCCTCAGCACGATTTCACTACGCTACTCGGTACACTGTGCAATTTAAAACTTATGAATTGTCTCTGGAATTGTCCATCCAATAGCTTTGAATGACTGCAAGTAGCTGAAACTGCGGAAACCACTGTAAACTGCTATAGGACCGACCACTGGCCACACCCCCCTCTACACTTACCCTTTCCATGCACACTGGGTGAGCTGGCAGTTCATCCTCCCACCTGGCCCAGGAGCAGCCCTTGACCAAAGACGGATGGGCGCTGTGAGATAAGCACCCAGCTTCCTCCTGAACCAGGTGGGGTGAGGCCGAGGTACACGTCTGACCTGGCACCCCAGGACCCCAGGGAAGTTAAACTCCAGTTGTCCACAGTGCAGACCTGCTTGCCGACACACCACTCACTGGCTTCCTTCTCTTTCATGACTCACTTCCCCGCTCCCTCGTTGGCATTTCCTGAGATCTATTCCCAAAGAGCTACACACACTCCAATTCTTGTTCCAGGCTCTGCGGCACCCAACTCAAGGCAAATGCCCATACAGTACAATTACGGGCTCAAACCAAGCCCCCGTCTCACCCACCCCAGGCGTATGGGGCTCTACACCTCAGGATCTAGACACAGGCGTCTTCAAACTACGGCCCACGGGCCACATGCGGCCCGCAGAGGAGTCTGATCCGGCCCGCCAGGTTTTTTGGGCAGTGAGCGCAGCCGAGGTGTTACAGTAGGAATTAGTAGTTCATATAGTCCGGCCCTCCAGCTCTCTGAGGGACCGTGATCTGGCCCCCACTTTAAAAAGTTTGAGGACCCCTGATAGAGGGTCTCACACACCTTTCCTAAGAAACATCATTTCACTGCTTGAGAAGGTGTTCTTCTTTCCGACTTCTTTCCCTTCCCCTGCCTTTCCTGGCAGTCTTGACTCTGACAGTCTTGTCCCACCTTTACC